AATTTTTGTTGCCACCACGAAAATTATAACTTACTAACTAATTTTGAAATATTTAACAAAAATAAAAAAAATAAGAAAAAAATAATCATAATTTTAAATTTATAGACACGGTAAGCAGCTCAAAAGCAAGTTTCCTTTTTTTGAAAAGAAACCGATAATTCTTCTAAATATGAATATGAAATAATGCCCCAATAAATTTTATTGTGAGAAAAGAAAAAAGAAAATAAAAATTATTATGGTCCCATGTCTTAATAAAAAAAAAAAACTGAAGTTTTATTGAATAAAAGGTATAATTATAATATAACTAATAAGTAAAATATACAGTTACTTTGAGGAAATATCGGACAAATGATAATGTATAAGGATTTCAATCAGTTTAATAACAAAATGTTTGAAAAATTTATTAAATTCTGTGAAATGTTAATTAATTGATATTTCATAAATAACCTTAAATATTTAATATAAAGGAAAAACCATGGTAGGTTCGTCATCCACCTGCCAAAAAACCGAATGACACATGAAACTGGAGCCTCATTATCTATGATATCATGTACCAGTCCAATTCTTCTTCCAGGTGTGAAGTAGGATCAAAAATTGTATTTCAAATTAAACAAAATCCATAATTTTAAAGGGACTGGCATCAAAAACGTGCAATTTTCTGTATTTCAACTAGAAACGTGCAATCATTTATTATTTCAACTAGAATCCCATTTCTACATAAATTTAAAATTCTTGCATTTACACAATAGGGAATTGACTCATTTGAAATGACACTATACTTGGAAGCCACTATATTATATAAAAAAATTGATTCACAGAAGAGATACCATTTGGCAAGTAAATGATTTTCTTTATTAAATAACAAATTTAAGATTTACTTCAAAAACTACAACCAATGGGCTATTTAAAAAAAATGCAGCCAATATGTCTTCTAAATATTTTAATGTAAATTTTACCCATTACTCCGAAGAAAAATGGAGACATACTCTTCAAAAAAATTTAATACAATCTCCAATTCATTCAAGTTCTTCAGTTCAGTTGAATAGTGCCTATATAGTTCGTGTCTAATTAAATATTAAATCCACTGTTCGTATACGAAATTAATTTTTTTCTTAACATTATTAAAATTTATTATTCAACATTAAAATTATTATTTTTTTTCCTTTTTATATTTTTAATATTCTAATTTGACATTATTATAATAATTTATGATAGACATAATCGATAATTTTCTTATTTTTTTTCACTTTGGTACTTAAAAAAAACTTTATTTCGAAAAAAATAAATGTTTTCAATGACAATTTAGACTTTTCATTTTCTACTTTTCACTTGTCATCTGTCAAATATCATTTGTTATAATAATAAAATAATTTAATTCAATATTTATTTTTTAAAATAAAATGTAAATTTAGAATGTAAGACATACGACTTTATTTTTTGTTGCTTGTTTTTTTTTTTCTTTAAAATTTAAATAGACTTTTTAATTATAAAAAGAATTTTTGTAAATTATTATATAAAATGAATAGAAAAAATTTCAAAGGTACAAAATACATACTACTTTAATTTTCAATAAACATTGAATTTGACATTTTAATTCGAGATGGCGCCAAAACCATTAATGTCATATTAATGCAAATTTACAGCGCTTTTGTGTTGTTTTAATTTTATGTGGCTTATAAGCAAATTGTCACTTTTTAAACAATTTGTCTTGTCAAAAAAATAATGTATGTATTTGATATTTTTGTCCTATATTTTTGCTCAAAAGAATATTTTTATTAAAATTAAAATTAAAATTTCTTTTAATTTTTAATTTGAAAATTAATTTCTAAACAAATTACAATAAGAACACATACATGTGTATTATAAATCATGCAATACTATTAAATTAATGTCTATATTATTTATTATAAAAAATTTTAATTAATAATCTATGGTAATTATTAAATTAGAAAGGAAAATAATTAAAGAGTACATAGAAAATAAAATAGAGACAGCAAAACTTGTCAACAATCAACTCTTTTACAACATTATTTTAATTTTAGAACTTGTTTTTATTTTATTAAATTAATTAATTATTTATTTAATTAATTCAGAATATGGAATTTTTTCTTTACGTAAGTTTTTATAATTAAATGCATTTAAATACAAGTGTATATTTTATATTGAGTGCTACTGAAGTAATATTTTTGTAGACGTGGTGTATGTGAGGGTATAACTTAAAATCTTAATTAAGTAAATTGGAAAAAAATCAACATGACATTTAAACCTTCAAGAAATGTAGGACATTACATTTTAATTACATAAGTGATCACATATTTTATTCAAGCAATCACATATAGAATTTATGGAAAAGGATGTGGCTTTGTACCAGAATGAGGTAACAGGCATGGCAGTTTGGAAAATGAAATGGCCTTACACCAGAACGAGGTAATAGGCTTATAGAAGTTTGGGCATTTGACTTTTCGAATAGGATTCATTAAGTAAAATTATTTAATTACAATTAGGATTAAATATGTAGAATTAATTAGAAATAAGATAATATGTATTTCTAAATTCTTCGAGGAAATTTGTATTTTGACGAGAAATTCAGCAGTATAATAAAACTATGCACGAATATGTAGCTTTAATTGGTAGTAAAAATCTTGGAGAATATTTTTGGTATATAAAATTAAATTTATTTGATTCATAAATGTTATCGGAATTATAATCCTTTCGTTATATTACCACACCCTTGTATATAGAAAAATAAGTGAGAAACCCTTAGTATTTCGCCTACTCTCCCATACTCGTATGTACAAAAGAATATAAAATAAAGCATTTAAAAGTAATAACAAAACTACAGCAATATTGCTGAATTCTAAATGTTTTTCAGTATTCGAACTATGTAATTTTTCAATTTATAAAAAAGTATTTTATTTTATTTATGTATTGGCATACCCAGTTTAAAATTTTCTCTTTTTTATCTTTGAAAAAGTGCAAGTAACCATTTCAAATTATTAAAGAAAAAGTAAAAATTCATAATAAAAAATTAAGGCCCTCATAAATAACCCTCAAATAATTCCTAATGTATGAAGAACCTGAAAAAAAAAAATATTAATACTTTCTTATTAATAAAATTAACCTTGAATTTGAATATTCTGTATGTATATAGATAATATTGTACATAATTATATACAATTATAAAATTGTGTAACTCGTAAAAATCAACAAGGAATAAAAATAATAATAAATTTTTTTTCTTTACCTCAATTCTTTTAATACTGAATCTCACCTTTTCTCATGTAATTTCGTATTAGAAATGTTCATGTTTTGTTTCTTAATTATTATTTTTACATAGGCACAATGTTGTTATTTATACATATATATGTGTTCTATGTGCATAATGTTGTGTATAACGCCAAGAAATTCTAAAATACTAAGGGTTATTAATAAACAAAAACAAAAAATAAAAATAATAAATTAAGGAATCTTTAAAATATGAGAAAAGGGTTCAAATTTTTTAGTTTTAACAAAAGTTATCAAAGAAGAAATGAAAAAATTTTTACATGACAGAGTTGTATTCAGAATGACCGAGGAATGAAATATTTCAAAAACAAAAATAGAGAATTTTGTTACATTTTCAATTCAACACGACAAAAGTCATCTACTGAATAGAATTTTTGTAGATTTCAGCTTAATTCGGACAAATCAAACTTAGTAGTTTTAATTTTAATTAAATTTGAAAATGACTACACTGAATTGTGCGGATTCCATGCTGCAAAAATAGAAATATCGCTTTACATCTTGTATATGAGGAATTTTAAAATAATTTGAAAATTGGAAAATTTTTCTTTCACTATAATAGATTAATAGAAAAATACTTTACTTTCCAAAATATTGCAATTAAAATTCTTAAAAATATGAGTTTGGTAAGCTTCCTTCCATTAATAGCAAAATATTTTGAATATTTTTTTTTGTTGAATTGAAAATTTTCTCAATAATCCTTCTACATTTGCTTGCAGCACATTGACTAGAAAATATTCCATAATTCTTCCAGACTTTTAAATACGGAAAAATAATACTATAAGTGAAGCTAACCCTGCGTTGATATTGGAACTATTTAATCAAATTTCCATGAATGAATGAAAAATTTATAATATAATTACCGTGGCATATATACTTTTCTGACAGTAACACTCTATTTTTATTGCATAAAGATAAAAAATTACAGAAATCCAAAACACTATTCGTACACTATTGAGCAAACAAAGAGGCTGGACATTAAATTATCATTAAAATTATTTAAAATCTGCAATACATCCCTGTTGATTCCCCTATAATTATAATATAACCATAAAGAGGAATCAAAAAAATAAAACCATGAAAAAAATTCTTTGAGTTCATCAGACTTTATTAAAACAACGCGATATCTAAATCTAAAATAAAATAAAAACAAAAACGGAATTTTAATCTAAACCGAATATTCACGTCACTTCAACAATATCCTTTTCTTTAAAATATTAATTTATTTCCTTTGCCTTTACCTTATATCCCGATTCTAATGTGGTATAGACATACATAGCGAAAGTCATGTATGTATGCAATTATTAGAATTGACTATACACGGCTATCTTGATAAAACTATTTGAAAACTAAGACAAGGAACTAAACAATGAACCGAAAAATTAAAATGTAAAAATATAAAGCAAAAAAACGCGCAGATGCACATAGTTCAAATCTTCATATCTTTTAAAGATATATTTTTTAAAGATTAGTTATAGAAAAAATATTTTCGAATCAGATATAAGTTTTTAGTTTCACATTGAATGATGTACAAACACACATAAACATTATATAAAATTTTAGAATTTTTTGAATACCTTATATTTGAGTCTTCCCCCATGCACTCATTTAAAAATTTTAATTTATAAAAATTTATTCACAAAAAATTTTTGTTTTATGAAATTTGAATATTTCAAAATTAATTTTTGTTTTTTTTTGTTTTCTTTCTCTTCTTCCAGGACTCCAGAACAAAACACGTTCCTTGATAATATTCCGTATAAATGGCTGTAAGTTGTCTTGTAGACAATTTGATTATAAGGTAGGTACAAAATTAAACAATAAGTCTTTGGTTTAAGTTTTGTTTTTTTTCTCAGTCTACCCAACATCTACCTTAACTACACACGTAATAACTAATTTAAATATAAATTATGGGCACTCCATATCTTTTTATTTTGTTAAATTTCTTTTTGTTTTTATTTTTAAGGTTAGTTTTCTCAAAATTCATATTTTTTTTAAAAATGTCCTTAAGACCTTTTATATCATTATTATTTTTTGTTATAATAAAAATGCATCTGCATTATTCGCTGGAAGTAATTCAATTCAACAGTTCTCTTTATATGCTTATATAATATAATTTTTGATCTTAAATAAGGTGTCCTTTTAAGGTTAATTATAAGTGTAATAAATAAGTAGCTTAAAACGTGCATTTAAAACTGATTAAATATTTTAGTAAATAACCCAAGTTAAATTAAAATTTCCTACATATTCATTTTAGACAGCTAAGACGCTTTAATAAAATTGTAGTTCGTATTTGAAAGTCTGTATGAAACCAATAAAATTTTACGAGAAAATTATTTTCCAAAATTAATTTTTAAAATTTTTTTAAATTTTTAATGTCCATACAATTATTTTAGCAAACGTTCTAATTTCTAAATTGCTAATATTTTTCAGAACAAAATTGCGAATATCTTAGAAAGCGAATTTGGAAATTTGTACAGACTAACAACAAATAGGAAGTTCACTAAAAATATTAATAAAACCCTTTTATAGTGTAACAATGCTATCAATTCAATTCATAGGACAATGTTGCACAAAATGGAGTATTTTCGGTTTCCTTTTTGTCTTTCAGCTGGTAGAGTATTGGGCGAAAACCCTTCAAAACCCCTGTCTTCAGACTGCTTTCGGACTACATCACTGTCATTTAAAATATATTTCCGTCTTCCAATTTTTTTCTCTCAATTTCTCTTACTCTCCAATTTGGACATTTGAAATGGGATATCTTGTAAATAAAATTTCTTCCTTTATATTCATCACATGTAATATTTGAATATCTCTGTATGTAATCTACCTTTACCAAAATATGTTAATTTTGCTAAAAAAAAAATTTTTGATATCAGTGTAATCAAAATTCGAATTTTTTTTTTCAACATTCCTAATAATTTGGGTTTTATTTCGCCCCATCTTCACTTATAAAATGAAACTAATTTAAATCGACTTAATTCGATTTTTATCGAATTATAAGAAAACATGCAATTTTTATGTTTTTATGTAGTAACGATCATAAACTTTGTGTATGCAAAAAAAAAAACTAAAAAAAAATTGTTTTTTTTGTTTGCAATTTAAGTCGCTTTGGTTCTTTGAGCAAGAGTGGCACCAGCAGTTTCTCTGGAACTAATAACAATAATTTTTTTCTTTACCATAGGTTTTTTTTTTAATATTAGCGATTTAAATGGAAATTTTTTGAATAGCTTCTTGTTTGGTAATTTTAACACCTTTCTTGAATGTGTTAATTATGGTTGTAAAAAAAAACATAAAATAAAAACACAATGATGACAAGGAAATGTTTTTTGTTTATATCTTGGCTAAAATTTTAGGAGAATTTTTTAAAAATTTGTTTTAAATAAGAAATTCGATGAATTCTTAAATCTTTAATAAAAAAGTTATTTAATGAATTCAATTGGAGTGTTAATTGATGTTAAGAATTTTGTGCTTACAAAAAATAACCCATTATTCATTAGGATTCTAGAAAATTTGAAATTTTGAAAACGAATTTGGGAAAAATTTAATTTCGCAGATTATTGTGGGAAATTCAAAAATATGAACAACACTGAATGAAATCCATGATTTATTTTAAGAATTCACAATTTATACAAAATCGCAATTAAATTTCAAAATTGAATAATTTTTTTCAGCAAATTTTGAAATTTAGAAAATTAATATCAAATTATTTTTGTATTACTGATAAACAATGACCAGAAATGAAAATTATGTAAATTGTGTTAGTTGACATATTACTAGGGTTTCTTTCTAAAAATGTAGCAAATTTCAATTCTTTTAATATACCACTCTTACATGGCGATTTTAATTTAACTCTCTAAAGCACAAGTTCATTTACTATTAACAATAAAAAAATCAGCTATCATTTTTTAACAGTACAATAAGAATGACAGTCTGTTGCGAAAAGAATAATTTCAGAAAAATTCTTAAATATTCTTAAACCTCTCATTTACTCCATTCGAATTAATAGTATTAGTTGTAACTGCAAATTGAACATCTTAATTAAATTTTTATACATATACACATGTATAAATTTTTAAGCACACTGCAAAAAATTATTGTGTAAAATTACTACAATAGTATAATTTAAGTAATTTAAATTCATTGTGTAAAATTACTACAATAGTATAATTTAAGTAATTTAAATTCATTCAATAATAGTGTAAGTTAGGCAAATCTATTAGATTAAAGAGTTATGAATTGTTTATAAAATTATAGAACAAATTTGCTTCCAAAAATTATGTTTGTCAATAAAATTGAGGAACATTGTCTGTCAGTTAAATAATTAAATAACCACCGCTCGCAAAGAATATTATACTCTTCGTAATGTTTTGGTAATTGTGACCTTATTTCTGTATCAGTAAAATCTATAATTGCCTTAATTTTTGTTGGTTTACCGTGAACTTGTAATATTATATGTAACCGGATAAACTATGCAAAATTCTCACAAAATGAAGCAAAAATATTAATCTGCAATAACAAAATTTCTTCAATAATAGCAAATTACTTTATTTATTATAATAATTTCGCGCACATTTTATTTTTTGTATTGTACAACAAAATACAAACTTTGAAATTATAACAAACAAATTTTATTTTTAATGTTATATACGGGTAACTGCCAGCCAAATTGTGGAAATATAATTATTTAATAATTTTTATAAATAAAAAACCAAATAATATTTTTTTTTTATAACTAAAATTTTATCAACAAAAAATAATAGTGAAAATAATTTTGATTTCAAAAATAATTTTATTGTACAAATAATATAATTTCTGTAGGCTATATAGAAAAATTCAACAAGTTTTTATACACAATATAAACACGTAGGTATTGTATTTTGAAAATTATATAAAATTCACTCAATTTAGAATTTTTTTTTTGCATTGTTATCAAGCAAACCTCTAGTTTAGTATAAAATACACATGGTAAACATAACAATTTTTTTTTATATTTTCATATAATTACAAAAAAAAAATTAAATAAATTATTATATTGATGAAATCATTGAAAATTCACTTAAATTACCTATGGCCAAAAATATTTTACAAAAGTATATTTTACAAAAAAACAATCCCCCCTAAAGGGATTCCAATTTCAAAAACAAGATGAATTGATTATAACGTTCATTTTTTACTTCCACATTTTTGTATTTTATAAAATTTATGTGATCTGCGTAAATTTTTCATTTTCATATTTATTTATTTTTTTTATTGTTTATTGTGGCTTTTTAGTTTAATAATTTAATAGATATTTTTCATATTATTTTATCAGGAAATAATCAAACAAAAAATAAACAAGAATCATGAAAATTATAAGCACAAATTTTTATTATAAAAATTACGTTGTGAAAATGACCACTTTTAAATGACCATTGGTCGAATTAAAATTATTTAAAAATTACTCTTAAAAATTTTTTGTGTAATTCTTGTAAAATTTACTTACAAAAATAATGCTATAGATAGATTAAAATCGAGAAATTTAATTTGACCTTATTGTTACAAGTTTTTTAAAAATGCACCCATCTTAAATTTAAATTTTAATTTCTGTTATAACAACAAGATTAAAATTTATTTTTCAGTACTTTAAATTTTCTTATAATGCTTAAAATCCTCTAATTATACTTTAACAACTTTATTATGTTGCTCTTTAAAAATAATGGCCGAAATGATAAAATTAAAATTAGGGTCCAACCAGACATAAAAATTTTTGTTTTGCAACTGTTTGATTGCTTATTTTTATTCCATAGGTGCACACATTCAACTGTATGATCGCATGCAATTGATCAATCAAATAGTTTGTGATTTTTTATGATTTTTTACAATTTGCAATTTTTAGTTAACATAATCGATTTGAATTAATGTAAGAGTCAAGATGCTTAGATGTGCGCAGACGGTTTTATAATTAAGCTGTGATTGCAAAACTAAAAATTGCATATCTGCCTGAGCACTTAAAGTAATTTTTTTATTTTTTTATTCTTAATGAATCAAGTTGTAATTATTATATGAGTTTTTAATTTTAATTAGAATTTTTTGTAATTGTAAAAATATGCACGTATTTAACAAGCTTTAAATTATATAATGGATATTAATTACCAAAATTGAAATTAATTACCTTAACGACATTATTATTGGGTGCAAGAACGGTAGCAAAATAGCTTTAAATCATATTTATTATATTTTGTAAACGTTTCAGAACTTATTTGTTACCAAAAAGCTTACTCTTAAAAAAAATTACCTAGACCGACATCTCTTCAAAAGTAGTTATTTACGCTTCCCTACTATAGAAAAATGTGTTTCCACCAAAAATTGGACATCCGTAATTTTTGTGTTTGGTGTCGTCACATAACCTCTGTTATTGTATGCAATGCGGTCGGTAAAAATACTGCAACCTCTATATTATTTCGACTACTTCATACAAAGAACTAACATATCTCTTTTTAGCGAATAATATGTTAAGCACTGGGATGTTAAAATCATACTCTCCAAGTCTCTATTATTAACAAAATTCTGTGTTACGAACTAAGCTTATTTTAGCTATGAATAGAGATTACACTGCAATACTTTTAAATTATTAAATATAAACTAAAATACGTAGCAGAGTGTATTGTAATTCATTGTTTAATTTTCCGTCACTTTATATATTATGCATGACGACTTCTCAAATTGATTGTTAATATCTAATATGGGAAATTTCACTATTTATTATTATAAATAAATTAATGCTTGTAAAATATGTAATTTTACCGTGAATAAACTGGGTGGTCAGAAAAACCTACTCTGATATTAAGAAGCATGTTTTATAATTAACAAATTCTAATAATAAATAATTAATTATTAAGTTAATAGCTCATAAAACAGTGAATGCATCTTGTATACAATTATCAATGTGGTGCTCTTCTTCTGTATAATATGTGTACCCTATATAATGCTGTTTAAAAGGCATATAAAATTTATTAATTAAGAATAAACAAATTTTCTTATATTGAAACTAAAATTGCCTACAGACAGTCATTATTAATGTTTTCATGTAGGTTGTTAAAAATAGTAGGTTTTAAATCTAATTTACGCTCATAAATTAATAAACTTAATTGATTGACAACCGTAGACATATATGAATAAATCCTACATTCTGTATATTTTAATTATTAAACATTTTTTTTTTAAAACTTAAATTCAAATTCAAATGGTAACTTTTAAAAAAAATAAGAAAATATTTACCACCCCATATATCCATCGTCATCCTTCTATTGTTTGTATTAACATCAATTCTTTCTTTCTCTCTAAGACCTATTTATTTTTTTCTTTTTTACTCATATAGTTTAAATATATGTACATTATTATATAGATATTTATATAATAATATAATTGTTATAATTTTTGCAATATAGTAAAAGCTCCGCCTTTTTATTAACTTTTCTTTAACCCTAATAATAATCCTCAGGAGCGATAATAGGAATGAAAGAGTCATACTTATTGAAACGCATATAGGTGAAATAGAGATAGAAGATAAAATGTTTATATATTTATTTTCATTTTTTCTTGTTATTGTAATATTACACGTGTTTATTCTACTATTCTTTTATTATAATAGTTATAATAATAATTACATTTTAATATAATTAACTTTTATATCAATGTAATTATGATGTTTTTATTTTCTTTTTATTAAATGTTAATTAAAAATGCTATAAAAATGAGAATAAAAGTGAAATTTTATTTATTTTCTAAATTATTTTTATGTTTCATTATTAATTTAATTTTAATAATAAAAATTTTAGCTATAAATAATGGATTTAATTCAAATTTAATAAAAAATTATTTAATATTTAAGAGATTTAATTAGCTGTTACTTTATTACTAATAAGCTTATAATTAACATGTTAGTAACTAATCACACACACTGGTAATTCTAACCGAAAGTTATTTAAGTAGAACTTAGGTTTTGATCAGCAAGTATGATTACTTTGTAAAGCTATTTTATTAATTTTAATAAAATAGCTTTGCACAAGAATTTTGTCACAAGGATCTACATACAAATATATAAGAGAATACAGCTTACCAGAATTATTGCCATGCATTGGATATTATCCGCTTACATAATTAGTATGATCATCGCTTAATATTATTCATAGTTCATTTTAATTAAAATCAGAAAATTTTGACCGTAATACAGAGATATTCGAAAGAGATGTGATACATTCTCATATCTGGGTCATACCGAGTATAGTTTTCAAACTGATTCTATTCAAACTGATATGAAAGTAACTGATTAAATATCATCGATTACATGTTTTTCTTTCGGCAATAGTACTGCAATCAGATTAATCAATTTAATTTGATTTCGTGCAAAAATTTAAACTAATTACAAAGCTTTTATTTTAAATGAAAACCTATTGTATAATGTTTAACTACAAAAAATAAAAAACTTCAAATTATACAAATTATTTTTTTTTTAACTCTCTCAAGCACCTTAGTATGTACCTTATAAACTACTTATATATAGCAATCTTTTCGCTTCTACGTGATAAATGTACATCTCGTACATGTAAGGTGCACGTGTAAGACACAATAGCTTTTGTATTTAAATCTGTGTATATACGTAGATATTTCGTTTTGAAATTTAGATTTATTTAAATTTTCGAAATCACTCTGAATAATAAAAGTTAATGACAGCATTCTCAGCATTCGATAAAATGCTACTTTATAATTTCATATTTTTGCCTACTCGTACATTTTAATTATTTAGACATTTCCGATTCCAAAATTAATTCAATTTTTGAAAACCATTGTGAACTGAAATTTTTTTTAAATCTATATTTTTTTTTTTGAGATATTAGCTGTAATATTAAATCAAACTCACATATTTTGTAAATTACCTTTAAAGAACAAAAAAAACAAGAACAATAAAAATAAAAAAACCCGTGAGAATTTTTCAAATTCAATTCAAAATGGAAATTAGTGAGAGGAGAAAAAAGGTCAAAAAAAAATTTTTAAGATTTTTTACACAAACGTACACATTTACATTCAAATTCAATGGTTATTCAACTATAATGCCTCTTTAGAAAATTTGTTTGAAAAAAAAAATAGGGGCTTATGATGAAAAGCATTTAGTTTGCCTTTTTAATTTTTTTTTTGTTTTTTATTATTATTTGAACAAATTCTTAAAAACGAAATTCTTTTTTCTTATACAATATTTTTTTTTGATTTTTATTTTTTTTTATTTCTTAATCTTTATTTTGTATAGAACAAGGCAAATGTGTATGCGTTCTTCTTCTTAAATTCTGAATAAAAACTGTTAGGAAATAATTGCCAGATTTAGTAGAATTTTTGAGAAAATTTTTGTTTTTAGAGCAGTTGCAATTTAGCCATAAATTTAGAACAAGAAGCCTAAATCCAATAATACATTTTTTAGATAAATTAAAAAGATAATTTTTTGTTTTGATAACAAAAGTTCTGAAACGTTAGCGATAAACGCCGAAAAATTAACAAAGTTTTTGATTTTTTGCAAAAGCACTTGCACTTGAAAATGCAAGAAACCCCCATTAAGAAAGAGGTCAGTTTTCCAATAGGAATTTGATAGTTTATAAAGCAAAAACTCCTGTAAGTCAATCTGAAATCATTTTTCGGAAAATTCCTAAATTTTGGGAAAAAAGCTGTAATAAAAATATAGTTGGTTGAATCAAGGTATTATTTTTATTGAACTATTCTACTTTCCACATTGCTTTCCTGTCATGCTAGCAGCTTTTATTTAAAATTTTGTTAACTGATTATCCATTTGAATCTGTACCAATAGTCTGTATTTTCTACGAATCAAAAAATTGTTAAAATATGTAACTAATGCTATGTCACATTTTGGTTTTACGAACTGAAAATGAACTGAATTAAACCAAAGACTGGGCTATAGACTTGAGCACAAAAATTTATGTATATTAATGATCTACATGCATAATATCGATTTTCTTCTTAGTCTCATTCAATTCAGCTTTACTAAGTTAATTTAGCCTTATTTTACACAGATCTAAAAAACATTAAGTTGCTCTTCCGACCTTTATACATATATAATATTACAAGATCGTAATTTTAAGAATTTTTTTTATGATCTGGTAATATTATATGCTATTAAAGCATATAAGCCTTTTTATTAATTTTTTACATCTTTCTACATTTTCATAAAAAAAGCCAAAGACCAATCTTTCTTCCCCTTTCTTCGAAGAAAACAGCATTATGCAAATAATATTTTGTGATCCTTTTATTATTAAATAACTTGAGAATATATGCATGAAAATTATTAATTTTTTTTTTAAATATTTCAAATGTACACTAAGAATATACTCACTAACTACCGTATATAGTGATACGCAAATAACTTTCTCACTTTTTTATTAAATTTTTTTTCTTTTAATAGTTTTTAACCTCTTATTCACTTGAAATCTCTAAATCAGTTAAAAATAATATAATAAAAGTGATATTATGTAAGAAAATAAATGTGTATAAATAGAAATTTTCAACCTATATGTTATACCATATCATTATCTGGTCATATATGTACATATATATATGTATGCTTAAAAAATATGAAAAAATCAAATATTTACGTACCCATTAGAGCTACTGGAATTAAAATATCCAAATATTAAATAAAAGTTACGAAAAAAAAATAATAATAATAATGATAAGTTGATTTTGTGATTCTCCTTGTATTGTATATGAGTTATATTTCTGTTATATAAAAATCTAGATATGTAAAAACGATCTACATGCGTATATCTTTTAAAATTTTATAGTATTTTTGTATACGTATGCATTTTGTATATGTATATTTAAATAAATAAGATATAGAAATTTGCGTATATCTTCCTATAATGAGATATTCAAGATAATTATATACTATAAACATGGAATAATATAAGAATATATGTATATAGGTTCGTATAGATATAACAGGAACGATTTTACATATTATATCATTGTAGTATAGTATACATATATATCATATAAATTTGTGATTATATTTTTAAAATTGTACACAATATTATGCACTCATATTCATACTTACGTAAATATTAAAATGTGTAGATATAGAATAAATATTTTTATTTAAAGAAGAAATTCAAATATTTACTCGAAATTTAATAATAATAAATAAAAATATATGTATGTATATGTACTCATACCTAACTTTAAAATGTTATTATTCATATGGATCTACAATAAATTTGAAACTTTTCACTTAAAAAAAACCACTCTTTGCACTTTTAGTTTGAGTATTTAAGTGAATTTTTATTGAAGAAAAAAATAATTGACGAATATTTGCTGTATTTTTGTGATAAATGAAAATTGAATGGAATTATGAAAAAAATTTTTAAAAAATTAAATTAAACATTCTTAAAATAATTTTACTTTATTAGTCAACGAATTTCATAAAAAAATAATTATAAAATTATTTCGGAAAAAGACCTCGGGTATTACCCTACGTATTAAGAGCGGGAATCTACCCGATTACTTTAAATTTAGAAACTGATTTACAAATTGTAGTAGCAATACCATTTTTTCTATCCGAGTCATTCTAAAATTCTAGTAAAAATTTGTAGGCGTTTTGCGGAATATTTCCGTATATTTATAAATCGGGTCTTAAAATTTGTACTGTTTTATTTGATTTTCATTATTGTGATTTCATTGTGATTTTAATTTTAAAATTAATGAAAATTATATAAATTCAACTTCTAACTTGTACTTTCTCATATTTATATTTCAGACTGCTGCATAACAAATGTGATTAACAAAATTAATAGCACACGATCGAATATACACGTTTTTGCTTTTGAAAGGTAAGAATTTTTCAATATTATTTTTAATTTTTAATTTAAGTTTAAATTTACTACTTATTAAAATTAATTATTGCACCAATGGAAAGAAAAATTTTTAATATTTTTAAATTTTCAATTTTATGTTAAACCACTTTTGAAAATTCTATATTGGCTCATATAGAAGAGAATCTGCTGTAATCTAGCTAAGAAATTTGTAATGATCGTCAACTATAAAATTCTCCAATATTTGAAATTTTTTTACAAATTTTAAAGTATTAAGAGAATATTTGTGGAGAAAATAATCGAAAATTTTAAAAAATTGCAAGATTTTCGAATCAAAATCTATGCATATTAAATTTTTGCATTTGCGTTAGCGCAATCGTCCTCAGAAAGGAATGGGCAACATTAATTAGTCAAATTATAAAATTATCAAATACTTTAGCTTATCTGATCCGAATTATCAAATTATACAATTAATTCCTAATTTTCTAGTCATAATAAAGTGTCAGTCACTTAGTAATAGTCATTCACTTTTCTTCTCTAAATAAAAAATCAGTTTTTGCGGTGACAATCAAAATAAATTCTTCTTATACTTAAAATAAAATTTAATTGTATTAAAAATTCAAAAACTTTAAAATAAAATAAAATTATTGAAGCATAACATTGAGAAAAAAAATAAATAAAAATTTTAACATTTTTAAATTTTTCATTTAATAAATGCGTGCATCTCTTCTTATACCTTTCATTTGCAATTCTTTAATGTCAACAATTTTTAATGTTATAATTTGTGACATTATTCAAAAAACAATAAAGTTGGGTCAAACCAATGGTTTGTATTGTAGCACTTTTCCCTTCTACAAGTGAAAATTCTGCTTTTAAATACAGTCTATGTATACCTATCCCACATTCTAAAAATTATTTTCATTCATATACAAAACTCTTTCTAGGATTGCATATATTTAGGATGAACGATTTATGCAGTCTTTGAAATAAAGCAAAAATTAATATAAAAAGGGGTTAACATAATGCTCGATTTTAAGGGTTAATTATGTGAGTTAAGAAAAATAATTATATTTTTTAATGTCATGGAATTTACCGTTAGCTTTTTGTGTTTATAAAAATTTGAAAAATATAAGGTGTCGGAAATATAAGGTGTCAAAAATTCAAATTTTAGAAATTTTAAGAGGCGATAACTTGAGAGGGGGTAGAGATGAAAAAAATTTTCTTCTAACAAAATGTACTATTTATTAATGTCTAAAAGTTCATAAAATTTCAAGCTTCTACAGGTTGGGGTCTAGAAAATAAACGACATCAAAAATTTGGAAAAAACGAACTTTAGATAACGGTAAATTTGAGCGGCCATTTTGTTTTTCTAAAGTTAACCTTTAGTATACCCCGCTAGGGAAGCAAGCCTTTCTGCGTTTGCAAAATTTGAAAAATCCTTATGGTTTCATTTGCACTAAATAGTTAAATAATGGAATTTTTAGGGTTTTGGGGGGGTATAACTTCTAAAGGGGGGGAGATAGATAAGAATTTTGTTCTACGAAAATAAGTTTCCAGTAAAAATCTATGTACGAACAAAATTTCAGCTTTCTATCTTCAAGGGCGTAGAAGTTTTGTAAACAGACACACGGACAGACGGACGGACGGACGGACGGACGGACGGACAGAGTGAAACTAATAAGCAAAAATTTTTTGGAAAAGCGCTAAAAATACGAAATTTTTTTAGATATACCCCCGCGCGTATTCATGTTCTTCTTATGCAGTTCTTTAACTAAATTTTTAAAATAATTTTATGTGAGTATTAAAATTAAAAAAAGAAAAAATTTAAAAAAAATAACAAGCAAACATAACATTTTAAGGTATGTATTTAATTTTTAAAAAGTGAATCGTTTTGAATTTTATGAGCCGCACCTAATGTCCTAAATCAATCATGGGTGTCGAGTTTTCGTATTTTTGCTTTTTAAAACACAAAATAAAAAGGCGTTATTCTGTGTCTTTTTTGTTTTTCTTTTGATCTTTTTGCATTTTATATTTTTCAATAATGTTTGTTTTTATTGTATAGTTCTTCTTTTATATACCTTTATTTCTGTGAGTCAACCTCGAACTCAAATTTAAAAAAAAAATATTAATTTTATGATTTTCTAATGTTCGATTTCATATAGGCATTATAAAGTAAATTTGAAAAAAAATGTGAAGAAAGGGAATTTAATTTCAATAAAGAAGTTGATCTGATTTACAAAGATTCAGAAAGAAATGCACAATACAAATCATAATTAACACAGAACTTATTCTGTAACGATAGTACAGAACTACAATATTTAAATTACCCGTATTCAATAACTTCATTTAAATTCAAAAAATGTTACATAGAAACTTTTCTTAATTTTTATTTAGCAAACAATGCTATGATTTCAAAAGTCTAAGTAAATTTGAAATTTTACAAGAATGTTGAACGCAAATTTCAGAAAGTATGTCATTTTCCATTGCGAGTAGTCATAAAAATATTGTTCTTACTTCTGCTAACTCGTGTTGCATTTGAGTGCTATACAACCAACGAAAATGTTCTAATTATGACACAAAAATTATGCAACCCCAAACCGAATTATATTACTAATTTTAAGCAATCTCAATCAGTGCCCCATTGAAATATTGTATGAAAATTACATACAAAATTGAAGCATACTTAGCGATATTTGTTGTTAACAGTGACAAAAAAATAAACTGGTCCAGCGCAACTTTCATTAATGTCAAGTCTATTCGTAGAAATTTCTCAATACTGTGATATTTTCACCATAGCTTAATAATTTTACAATATTTATGCTTTACAAATACTTTAATAATTTAAAATATCAAAACAAAATTCCCTGTAAATCGGAAGACATTAGACAGAAATTGAGGAAGTTCAATAGTATTTTTTCCAGGGTTACACAAAATTACGTTTTTCAACGCTACGAAAAACTCATTCTTCAAACGTATCAGCTGTTACAACATTATTCAAATAAAATTTTCCCAGATGATTTCGTATAAAAATCTTTAAATTTATACAAATTTCGATATTTGATACATGAAAGTGAATAATTTATAATTAAAAATCTTTGATGTAATTATAAAGTAATTCAGAAAAATAAAAATAAAAAGAAAAAAGTTATTTTTAATTTTAACATTAAAAATTTTCTTCATAGAAACATGAAAGATGAAAGTATTTGCAAAATAAAATTTCAAATTCTAATTTTAACAAGTTTTATGAGATGCCCAAAGAATTTTTGTTCTATATTTAAAAAAAAAAAAAAAAACCTCTATAATTATAAAGATTATGCGGTCAATTGTTCTTTGAAATGTCAAATATATTAGAATATAAAATAAGCATACACAATAATTTTTTTTATATCAAGAATATTAACTTGAGTACTTCTTAAAAATAAAATTTTAATAGTAGCAATTTTTTTCATTTTTATATTTATTTTTAAAAAACAAAGAACTTTAAAATTTCTTCTATATATTATAGGCGTACGAACAAATGTTCGAATGGTAAATCAAATTTTCCTTACCGTTTATAACGCAGCAGCAAATTCTGAATCGATTTAACCATATCTGTCCGTTTGTGCACCCATCCGTTCCAATGATAACTAATTGATCTAAGCTCACCAAATTTTCACAAAGTTCAAAAATTTCATGAGCGCTTATGATAATTGCCATACAACTTCAAATGTTATTTGGGCAGATTTCAAAAATTATAGAACTTACAGTATTGAAATTTCGCACAAGCAAAATATTTCATTAAGGCTCTTATATTTGATAAAAATAAAAATTTGTTGAGCTGTGGTGTTAGTTATAAAACTTTGAAAATCTATATTATGAAAACTATTGAAATTACAGTGTTAAAATTTTGCTTAACGAAATAAAAAACCAGGCGTTTATATGGAAGAGGGTGACAATTATCGCACTGCACTTAAAATCATTCATTCGTACTGGTAGCACAGAGTTGACACGGTCAACTCTACCTATTCTCGTTTTAAATTGAACTTTTCTATATAAATTTTCTTATATTACTGGTATATACCATTATGTGCATACATAAGTAATTATTGCGCAAATAAAATAATGAAATTTGTATGAAAATTTGAAGTGCAGAAAAATTTTTTTTTCTTCTATTTTTATTAAATTTTATTACAAAAATAACTTAAAATTTTTATATTTAACAGTGACATTTTAGTTAACTATTGACGTAAATAATTCATTTTAATTGTATGTATGTACATGTATTTTGTACATATACTTGTACATTAAATAATTAAATATTATAATTAATATATTATGCATGTACTATATAAACACGTGATCATAAATTTTTAATGATGAATAATTACAATATTTTTAAAAATAATATTTATTTTTAACGATGATTTTGATATTGATGACGATAATGATGAGTTTGTATATATTTGCATATGCATACATACTTACATACTTTAAATTTAAATGCACAAATATTTTATGCACATTAATATTACGTTTGTCTATAATTATTGTTATGTATGATTGTATTAATAAAAATACAGTAAAAACTAGAAAAAATTTTTGTTACTAGGAATTTAAAAAAATTAAATAAAAATTATGAAAAATAGTAGAAAAATTAATTAAAGAAAAAATTATTTGAATAATTTTGAACTATTGAATGAAAAATTATTAAGTTTTGTACACAATGAAAGGGCTCATCACTAAGGACACAATATATACGCACAGATTTTTCATTAATTTATAAAAACAAATTGGCGAATATTCTATAGGTATACAACTTATCCTGATAAGAACTCAGAAATCAGGTCTAAATTGAATTGATATATATGGAAATATTCGGAATTTATATTGAACTATATTCTTATTCAGATTACTATCACTTTCTATTCTGATTCTAGTAAAAATTATAGAAAATCTTAGTTCAGATTTCCAAAAGTAAAATTTTGTTCTGAAATTCTCTTATAATATTTGCTCTCTTAGTGTATTCGTTCCGTTCATATTGTCAATTTCAATTGTCTTTGAAATTTAGTAGCGAAATTTGATAATAATTAATAAATTCTAAATTTTAATTAATTTTAGAAAATGTTATTAGAATTTTTTCCATTGTCTTGCATATAACAATAAAATCGTATGACTTCAATCCCATATTTCTTAACTTAAAATATAAATAGCTAGTTCTCTTTAAACAAAGTTTATGGTTCTTAAAACGTATGTACTTGATTGCATTATCAAGGCTATTTTATTACTAAAAATATTTTTATATAAAAAAACAAGATTTTTTTTAAATTCAAAATTTTTGGCAAAATATTAACTGAATTCTTAAAATATTCATTTATTTTTATTTTTAATTAAATTTAATTTTTTTCTTTTGGTTAATTATTTAAAATTTCTATGTAATTTAAATATTATACTCGAGATATAAATTTACCTTAAATATATTATTTGCATTAAGAAATTTAAAGAGAAATCATTCAGAAAATTAAATATTTATTTTTGAAAATATTTAATTAAATTCAAAAATATTTTTGATACTATGCGTAAGATTCAATAAACCTACGCTATAAGAATAACCATTAAATGATGATTTTTCCACTTTATAGTGTTTGCGCATTTTAATAATAATCGATTACTTAAATATTTTAAGCTGAAATTTGATTTTCTGATGGTATTAAATAATAATATTTGTAGAGTGTTAGATAAGAACTATAGAGTTTGAATGGTTTATAAGTAAATTTCAGTTTAAAGTGCTTATACATAAATCAGTGTTTGAAGACCATAACGAATTTAAAGTTAATTGACTAATTTTAAAATAAATGTAGTTTCTGTTTAGAATTCCGAGTTTTTGGAATAACACAAAAATTACTAAAAACTGACAACATTTCTTTATAAAAATTTTATACAATTAATATTTGCCTTTGTTTATCCATAATTTTTGGGAAAAACACTAAAATTCAAATCAAGAGAAAATTGATTTCTAATGAAATTCAATAAAATGTATTGTTTTATAATATTTAAAACGCTTTGAGTTTTTTATGGTTTCACTAACGTTAGCAACTAACGTGCGAATTGCATCGAATTTAATAATCGCATTATTGCCATAATATAAATTTAAAATTTGTTAATGATTGCTTAGGGCTTAAAATTTTATTAAGACAATTATAATTTTAATTTAATGTAATAATATTGTTAATGTTCTATAACTAATATTTACACTATGCCCACATAGGAAGACACATAATCGTATTCGTATGTTTGTGCTGCGAGGATGTGTACAATTTAAAAGATAATATTTAACTGTTGTTATTTTTTTTTTTTCAATATGACCTTTTATATTTTTTTTGTCGTTTTTGTTTTTAAAAACCATTAATA